GAAGTGGGAGGGCTCAGGAAAGAGCTCCCTAATCTGCCCCAGAGGAGTGAAGGCAGAGCTGCCGGAGACTTTCGTTATCGTAACAGCCAGCATCTATACAGTGCTTTAAGTTTTTGAAGCACTTTCCATCTTTCATGTCACTGGATCCTCACCCTGGGAGGCAGGTGCTATTAGAAACCCCATTTTACAGATGAGGAAACTGAGGCAAACTGAGGTAAAGTGACCTGCTTAGGGTCACACAGCTAGAAAGGGTCTGAGGCCAGACTGAGCCCCGAGTCTTCCTGACTTCAGGCCATGTGCTCTACCCACTGGACCACGTTAGCGTCTTTACAATTATCAAGACGTCTCCTTGATCACTCTCCGTGTCAAGAGTAGAGCAGCTAACAGGCTTGCTTACGTGATGATCTTTCACAAGAGAAAAGAGCCAAGAAAGGGAAATTCTGTTCTGCATCATTCTCACCAACTGTGAGGAAGAGGTTGTGTTGAGTGGAAATGATTAGGACCCTGGGGGCAGTGAGCACTCCCTCTTAGTCTGTGATAAAGACAGAGAGCAAAGCTTGAAATGCAGTAGCTGCGCCTTACTGATACAGCTTACGTGGAAGCTAGCTTCCAAAAGCAGCGTCTGGGTAAAGATCAGTCTATTCAACACCACTCTCAAAAATTCCTTCAATCACACATGAAGTACAGTATCTTTGAATACTTATACCAAGAAAGGGGCTAGGGCAGGGGTGGGGAACCTTGGATTCAGTCAAAAGGCCCACGCTTAAGGATCTAGAAGGTCACATGTGGCCTCAAGGCTGCAGGTTCCCCACCCCTGGGCTGGGGTCTCATTCTACTTAGAATATCGGTATTGGGGAGCAGATGGATCTAAGACGGGTGCCACGGAAACACCGAAACGTCCTTTCCCTCCACAGTACTTCACTAAGCTATTAATCAGGAAAGAGGTAAGAATCAGGATTCCTTTTAAAATGGAAGAAAATAAAAACAGTTAAAACTTAGCTGGCAGGAAAAGCAATGATTAGGGACAAAACCATTCTGACAGAGCTTCACACCTAAGTGTCCTTGCGTCAGAAGCGGATCACACCAGCACAGAACTATTTCTTCTTGCTTCCCTAGGAAAAAAGGGAGGAGTGCAGGAAGTCAAAGGGGAGTCACACAGCAGGCATCTTCTAGCTGATCAGGCAGGAACCACAGGAATTCCAATTAAGAATGAATCTTGGTTCAGTTTGCCTAAAGGAAATGAATAGACTGCCCGTGGATCTGATAAAGAGAAGATTCTAGACTCATGCTTGGCAGCAAGATGCTTATTCTATAAAAAGCACTTGAGAACTGAAACCAAATGAAAATAAAATGGTGGGTGAGGCTGCCCACCTTCATTAAATTGTTCTCTCTCTCTCGCAAGCACCTGCGTGTTTCCTCCTTCCCTCTGCCCAAGCTTGTCCAGCTGAATGTGGATAAGTTAACTGTGACTCCCTTGTTGTTTGACACGCATCCTTGATTTTGAGAGAACAGATTTCAAAGGGTTCAGAGTGAGATGGGTGGCACACTATTGACTGAAATTCTTTAAAAGTTAGTCCAGGAGAGATAAGAAACTCTCATGAATGAAATCCTGAAAACACAGAGAGATAATACTGGAAGTAAAAAAAAGGAGCTGTCCGAAGAGACCAATGTGGATGCACAAGTAACATAGCAGATTTCAGATCTGAAGAAAACCCGTGTGCAGAGATAGAATCAAGAGCAAGAACCTGAGGAGTACAAAGGTATGGCCCAGGACTATGAGAGTGCCAGAATACTAGAACTCCAGATGAGCTGGAGCTGGCCATAGAAAGCTACCGATGAAAGAGTTCTTAAAATAACATGGGGTAGAAGATGAGGCTCCAAGACAGGGCAGGAGACAAAGACGCCTGAGAGGACAGAAGCCTCCGCCGCTGGATGTGTATTTTATCGCTGTGTCCTTTGCTATGGGCAGAAAAGGATGAACAAAAGGCACTATGAGGGAGGTGAAACCCAAGATAAGAAGATGGTGAAAAAGCACTCAGAGAGCCCTGATGAGCGTGGCCCGGATGAACTGGCAGATGCTGGCGACAGATGAAAGACCCCGGAGAGCTGGGGAGGCACCGGAGGACTCGAGCAAGGAAATGACATCCTCATTTAAAAAAGGGGAAGATGACAAAATTCGGAAAGTCGTAGTGGAGCTTCAATTCCTGGTAGAATTCTCCAGTATCTCATGGGAGAGGCGGTTAGTGATCATCTGGAAGAGGAGACTGTGCCCCGAGAGGCCGCCAAGCTTCCTTAGGGAGGAACCGTGCTGTTCTGACTTCAGTTTCTGACCTGGTGACCAAACCGGTGTGTCAGGGGATGGATGCCGTTTCCAGATAAAGCATCTCACGGTGTTCTCGTGGGACAAGACCATCTAACAGAGTGAATCTGGGATGGGCCGGGTGGCAGAACTCAAGAAGGAGGCGCGATGGCTGTGGGTCTCTGGCGGAGTTCCCCTGAGATCCCAAACTAAGCCATGGGCCACAGGACATCCTGCTCAATGGCTTGGATAAAAGGCGTGGCTGGCATGTTCATCAGAACTGCAAAAGCCATCGAGCTGAGAGGGAGAGCTAACCCTCAGCGTGACCAGTCAGAATCCCAGGAGCTTGAGAGGTTAGACCAGGCGTCTTCATCTTTTTTTCCTGCCCTAGACCCCTTTGGCAATCAGTCTGGGGAAGCTTATGGGCTCCTTCCCAGAATCATGTTTTTAAATGCATAAAGTGAAATACACAGGATTGCAAAGGAAATCAGTTATACTGAAATGTAGTTACCAGAGGATTAAAAGTTCTAAATCCATGATACCCCATCCATGAGCCCCACATTAAGTGTGGCATGGTCAGACTTATGTTTAAAGAAAGTCATTTTGGCAGGTAAGTGGAGGGATCAGAAGGGGAAAGAGACCTGAGGCAGGGAGAGTAATCAGAAGAGCACAAGGTGGTGCAATGAAGTCAGGAAGATCTGAATTCGATTCCTGATTCAGATACTTACCAGCTGTGTGACCCTGGGCAAGTCACTTCATCTTTATTTGCCTCTGTTTCCTCATCTGTAAAATGGGAATAATAGCACCTCCCTCCCAGGGGTGTTGTTAGAATCAAACAGGATAATATTTGTAAAGCACTTGGCACACCCAAAAGCTACGTAAATGCTAGCTATTATTGGACGACAGTCCAGGCTGGAGGTAACGAGGGCCTGCGCCAGGCTGCACAGGAGCCCCAGACATGGAAGCCTGGCCCTGATCCTTCTGGGCACCACGATGGATAGCACTGGTTCACGCTCCTCTCGGCCATCACGCCTGAAAGCGCCTTCTTTCCTGGAGGTTCCCTCCTTGGTAATAACTGCTCAGCTCTTCACATATCATCGCCCCCCGGGCCATCTTCTCGTCAAGGACAGAGGGACTGGCCTGGCTCCTGTGGGCTCTTTGGCATGATCCCGGCACTGAAGGTCGGCTCTCTGAGGGCAGGGACTGTGATGTTTTTCATTCTTCTATCCCCCAACAATGTGCACATAGTGGGCATTTAAGGACTGCTTCAGGAATTCATCCCATGTGGCCCCATAAATGGAAGTCTTTGAAGGAGAGCACAGAATTCCCTTCTTCAACTCTAGCAGCATGCCAAAGTTCTGTCTTTAAGAAACGACTCACTAAGTGAAGAGAATAGCTTGGTAACTGCGTTCATCTCTGGTCTTAATGGCCAAAGTATCTGAAGCCTTACCTATTGATGGTCACAATGTTCTTGACCACCATACACTAAGATAACTAAGCCTTTTTTTCTTTTTCACATAGATGGGGCTGACCATGTTCTAAGACTTCCTAGGACCAGTCCTCAGGGGACTTGTGATAAGGGGCGACAACACAACGAAAATAAATTTTTCTTTCTTTTTTCCTTTCCTTCTTGTCTTTTCATTCCGCTCTCTCTTTCCCCACCTTCAAATATGTACCCAGTAACATAATTCAAACATTCTCTTTGCCTTCATCCTTCCCACCCTGGGCCTCAGCCATCTTGACTGTGACAACGTAGTTGCGAATTTACCTCATCCTCTACGAATGCTGGCCCCAGACTCTGCACAGATTTCCTACCCACTCACCCAGCTAAGCCATCTTACTATTTACCTGCTCTTACTGACCTGCTTCTTCCCACCTGGACCACCACCTTCTGCACTGCATTCCCAGTACTTAGGAAAATCAATTCACCCATCTTTGGAACTCCTGCTCTAGAGCCCAGACACCTTAACTGGTGGCTGAGAGAGTACAAACTGAATCAGCCCACTCTATCCAGCTGGTCTCAGGCCCCAGGCTAGACCATCCCTCACCTTCACCTTCTATCTGGCTGTCTACCTAAGCCACCTTATCATCTGCCTGCTGAGAAGTGCAGCCTATCTTTCCTCCTTTTTCTAGACACAGCAATCAAATCAACAGTACCACTGCTTCTGTTAAGGTGTGTCATCTGACTGCCCTATACATCAAATCACTATGCCAGTGACTTGCTGGACTGAATTCATTTCCCTGGAGATCACTCTCTTATTTGGGTGGCAGGCTTCTCCTTCTGGGTCTGTATGTAGCCCCAGTACTCAGCACACTGCTAAGTGTCATATAGTAAGGTCTCATCAATTCTTTTTCATTCATTCCCTCAAATTGGTGAAATTCAAACTTACTTAGAATGTACAAGTTCCTAACTATATCATTATAAAGCACTAATCCCTAGATAATGATAGCTTGAAATATATTCAAAATAAAACAAAAATTTTAAGCTTCTACAACATGGCATTTGCTTGATTTTTTATTTTATAATTTTGGAGCTTTATTTTATAGCATGTGGTCATCTAAAAAGAGTATGATTTTATTAGCCAAGCTTTATTAAGCAATGAAAACAGTTTAGGATTGAAATATGACATCTTATCTTTTTGCTTTTCTCAATTTACAAGTAAAAATTAACACACATGCTGAAAATTAAAAGAGTATTTACCTAGGCAAAGTTGATCTCTTGACATAATACTTTCTAAACTGCTTTTAAAAACAGTTAGATAGGCAGCTCTACAATTCATGTAAAACAACTCCTCTTCAGTGACCTGTAATTTCTTCGGTCGAGAACATTCCCAAAGTGTCGATTTCTGACTGGAGACAGATGCGTGACCTCCTGGGCTGCTGGCCATTCTACAAAAAATGCAAAGATGCTCATGTTTGGATTCCTTACGAAACTAAAGATAACATCCATCTTGCTTCTCAAGTCAGAGGAAAAAACCCCCAAAGTACATTTACCTATCTATGTATAGTTAAACACATTCACATACAAAAAACGCTGTGCACAATAGGAATGGCAGGGACTAAACTAACCCCCTTGGCTGGTGTTTCTCTTCATGTAATAATCACTGATTGAGAAACAAAGTCCTGAAGAAATTCTCAATATTTAAGAATAGCAACTTACTAAGTGCAACACTGTGTACCAACTCATTTATATCATTCCAGAATTTCTCTAGGTTATTTTTAATTGCTACACTGTACAAAAGGAATATATTCAACATGTTACCCACTAAAATGTTTGCAAAAAAGAGTATTTTAGAGTGACACAAAAATTGTCATGCTTTGCTCAAAACTTCATTGATAAATTTTAAGACAGAACAGTGTCAATTAAACATGGAAACAAATGAGAAATTCGTGATATTTTTTTTAAAAGCACATTTTTTTTTTTAAAACTAGGCAATGGGGTTAAGTGACCTGTCTAGGGTAACACAGCTAGTAAGTGTCAAGTGTCTGAGGCTGGATTTGAACTCAGGTCCTCCTGACTCAAGGACCGGTGCTCTATCCACTGTGCCACCTAGCTGCCCCTAAAAAAGCACATTTTCAAATTGAAAATGAAGATAGTTAAACAATTTCATCAAGAATGCTAGATCTTAAATTATGTCCTTGAGAGAACGGAAGATCGCCAATGTTATAACATATACATGAAGCAACTCAAGGCAGAAGTCTTTTCTTTTTCAAAAACTCAGGTCCTGGGGCAGCTAGGTGGCACAGAGGATACAGTTCCATCCCTGAAGTCAGGAGGAACTGAGTTCAAATCCAGCCTCAGACACTTAACACTTACCAGCTGTGTGACCCTGGGCAGGTCACTTAACCCCACTGCCTAGCCAAAAACAAAACAAAACAAAAAAAACTCAGGTCATATACCCTTTGACTTGCTAACCGTGCCACTGAGAATATTTCTCAAGGAAATAAACAATCAAAAAGGAGAAAGACCCTTTTGTATTAAAATATTTATAGGTTCACTATACTTAGTAGTGAAAAAACTAAACAAGGCCGAAAAGTCTAAAGGCAGGGAAATGGCCAGGCAGACTGGAACATGAATGCAACGAGGTCAGCATACCATGGGCCAAATATATCCTCCTGTCCATGAGCTAAGAATGGCTTTTACATTTTTAAATAGTTGAAAAAAATCAAGTGAATAATCTGTAATGAAATGAAAATGATGTGAAATTCATATGTCTGTATTCTTTCAGTAAAGTTGTACTGTTCATGCGCTGTCTCCGCGACTTTTCTGACACAAAGGCAGAGGTGAGGGGCCGCAGAGATGGTGCGTGGCGCTCACTGCGTCCTACTGCTGCTGCTCAGGCGCACTGCCAATCGCAGGGAGGCAATTAGAACTCAACAGCGTTGTTAGCGCCATGCGATTTTATGTTATCATTACCAGAGCACACCCATCATGTCAACCCAAGAAAACAAAAGGAGACTTCCACGGTTGTGCTTTTAGGACTCAGCGGAGTGTGGCCTATTTTATTATTGAATTAGATAGCATCGTGTTTATTATGCAACGACAGTAGAGGGGTGCCAAAAGAATACAATATACATCAACATTACCAGGGAAAGCATTCATCCCAATATTCCCAGATACACAGGAAAGCAGACAACACAACAATTCGAAATTTTAAAAGAGATTATCTTATCACAGCAGAATTTAACAAAAATAAAAAAATGGAAATGAAGCTCAGACCAAGTAAGATTCCGAATGGCTCATCTGTTACTCAAGCAAGGAAAGCTGTTTACTGCTGGTGCGTTAATTAAATTGAGTCTGGTTCCAACAGCTGAAGAAATGTGTCCGGACAAAATAAGTTCATTTAACATTATTAGTTTTTTGGCTCAATTAAAATCATATGCTTATGGACTGTTATCAGTATTTGACGGTATTTATCTGTGTGAAAAGCCATTTTCAAAGATGAAATATGGAAAATCTCATTACACATCAATATAATAGATGAACACTTGCAACTGATTTTTGTGACAGGAAACATTCAGTTTGAACCCCAATTAAGCAAAATGTTATTCCCCCAAAAAGAATTCCATTCTTCTCATTAACAGACCTATAATACAAAAAAAAAACCCGTACTTTATTATTATTATATTTTTAATTTTGTCATTAAACTTTGTGAAAATGAGTTTTCTACACCGTTATCTAAGTATCAATATAATAGCCTCACTTTTGTCTCTTGGCCTACAAAGCCTATAAAATCTACTACCCTGCCCTTTGCCGACCCCTGCCATATACTTCCCAATTTCTATCAAGGGTCACATCCCCCTTCTTCCAAGGGCCCGGGTTCACAACCTCTGAGTGACCCTGGAATCTCTCCTTTCATCACCCACGTGTCTCCTCGACACTAACAGGTCACAGGCTAGTTCAGACCCGCCTCTCCCCTTCCCTGGGATGCTGCAGGAGCCTCCTACCTGGCCTCCTTCCCTCCAGCCAGAGTCGAGGACGGTGTCATGCCCAACCCAACAACTTCTGACTCCTTGTGACCCTTAAGTTTCAGCACAAGCTGCTTACTTCCTCTACTCAGGTCACTATCTTCACCACCTCCCCCTAAAACCTTGAATGCCCTTGAACTTTTCGGCTCCAAATGCTAACATTCGAGCTTCCAAAGTCTTATACTGCCTTGGCCCCGGGATTCAAGATTGACAGCCGTGGGTTTAGCATGTCTACTCAGTCAGTCAATAAAAGTTTATTAAGTGCCCACCTACTCTGTGCCAGGCACCAGGCTAAGGGAGACGGAGACAAAGAGACAAAAGGCAATGCGTGCCCTCAGGGTGCTCACTATTGAATGGTGGAAGCAAGCTATCCACAGGGTAAGAAGGAAACAGCCACCTGAAGAAAGGCCCTGGAATTGGGAAGAGCTAGGGGGAGGCTTCTGGCAGAGGGGGGAGATTTTATCTGGGCCTTAAAGGGGAGGTCTGTCATCACAGCAGAAAAGGGAGGGCTTTCTGGCACGGCGCACAACCACAGAAAATGCCCGGAGCTGAGAATGAAGTGTCTTATCCTAGGGATAACCAGGAAGCCAGCGGCACTGGATCAAAGAGTATGCCTAGGGGAGTAAAGTGTAAGAAGACTGGAGAGGTAGCAGGGGGCGGGTGACGGAGAGCTCTGAGGTAGGGGGTGACATGGTCACTTTAGTGGCTGAATGGAGGACAGACTGGAGGTGGTGGGGAGGGGGAGACCCGAGGTAGGCAGACCCCCAGCCCAGCAGCTGTTGTAATAGTTCAAGCATGAGGTGATAAGGGTCTGCACCAGGGTGGGGGCAGAGTCAGAGGAGAGAAGGGAGCAGATTTGAGAGACATTGCAGAGGTGAAGTCCCAAAGTCACGCCGGCTTCTATTTCTATCCTCAGCACTTTGCTCACTGTCTGGATCCCTCTTCACATACGCTAAGGTCCAGACAAACTGACCCTCTCTGTTCCTCACACATAATGCTCCATCTGCAGCCACCTTGTCTTTATCCAGGCTGGCCCCCCTGCCTGGAATGCACTCCCCCTTCACCTTGTGCTTTGGAGAACTTGGTTTCCTTCGCAGCTCGGTTCCAATGCCGCTGCCTACACTACACCTTCCCCAAGGGTACCCGATGCCCGTCTCTTCTCCTTCCCATCTAACTTGTGTTGTATTTTATACACTGTCACACGTGGGAGGACATGCTGTCTCCCCTGAGGAGGTCCTGAGGACCTAGCACAGTGTAGGAGACAGTGCTTAAGAAATGTGGGTGTGGCAAAGAACTGGAAATTGAGAGGATGCCCCATCAATTGGGGAACGGCTGAGCAAGTTGTGGTATATGAATGTGATGGAATTCTATTGTGCTATAAGAAATGATGAACAGGCTGACTTCACAAAAACCTGGAAAGACTTGTATGGTCTGATGCTGAGTGAAGTGAGCAGAACCAGAAGAACGTTGTACATAATAACAGCCACACTGTGTGATGACTAATATTGATAAACTTAATCCTTCCTGGCAATACAAGGATCTAAGACATCTCCAGGGGCCTTGGATAGAAAATGCTATCCACATCCAAAGAAAGAACTATGGAAGCTGAATTGTTATTTTTTTTCTCTTTTGTTGAATTTTGTTTCCTCTTTCTGATGATTCCTCCTATTGGTTTTAATTTCTACTTACAACATCACTAATGTGAAAATATGTTTAATATGAATGTAAATGTATAGCCTATATCAGATTGTGCGCCATCTTGGGGAGGGTGGTGGAGAGGATGGGGGAGAAAAATTTTAAACTCAAAAGCATATGGAAGTGATTATTGATAAATCAAAATAAATTAATTAAAAAAAAAAAGAAATGTGGGTGAATCGAGTAAGACTGCCATAAAGAGTTATAAATGTGGCCTGCAGAGAAATAGGGAAAGACTTAGATGAAGATAACTAAATGCAGATAATGTATAGAAATTTCAAATCTGTAAAATGGGTGCCCACTGAAAGGCTGGAAAAAGGTTACAGAGTTAGCCAGGCATTCAGTTATCTTCCAGCCAATATGTTTGCTTCTCACTGAAAAATGTATTGATCCCAAACAAAAGCACAGCAGTCGTGGAAACTGCCCAGGCCGACGGAGCAAGAGCCCTGCTTTAGACGGCAAGCTAGAAGCGGGTGATGGTGAGACCCTTGCACTTGGGGCTTAGGCCCATGGCGAAGCTCAGTTCACATTCCAGCTTTGCTACTCACAACCTATGTGACCTTAGAAAAGGACTCAACCTCTCTAGGCTGGCTTCCTCATCTGGTAAATGAGTGGGGCCGGGCTCTTAAGAAAATCTCTCAATGCTGTTTCCTCATCTATAAAATGGGCATTAAAATATTTGTCCTTTGAGAAGAGGCTAAAACAAGATGTGTGAAAGGTTTTGAGCTGCTACCAGGAGAGATGCTATAGAAATTCAAAATGTTATTATTTGTAGTAAAAGGCTAGTCTACTTTGGAGGTGGTTTCCCTCTTCATCATTCCTGATGAAGGCTTTCAGGAAGGCCATCACCGAGGGACATTCAATCCTGCCGTTGCTCTAACAGCTCCCAACATTATTTTACTTAGCGTGGACTTCTGAAAATATATTCACCCTAATAAACTGGATATTTCAAGTTCAACAACAAGGCGACACAAGGACTTGGGTCCCCTTCAGGACTCATTGGATCTTTCCTCGGGGGCCTAAATGATCTGCCCCTTCCTGAAGCATATAGGTCTTTCACACTTGGGAAAGAAAGATAATCATCACTTCTCATGGATGAAGTGCCCTATTTATAATACACAGCCGGCATGGCTGACACTTTCCTATTACACCAGATTGAGAAGGACCCCATAGGGATGTGGTGTCACAGTCTGGCTACTGCAAATTGGGTTCACTATAATTAAGAATCAGTGCTTTAAACACAGAGGCTTATAAATGGTGACAAGAAACCATTAATAGCAAGAAGGAGAGAGAAAACAAATGTTCATTTCCCAACAAGTAATTTTTACAAGAGATGTAGCTTGTTTCACTCGGGTAGTGTCTTTCCTCTGGCGATTCGCTCCAATTTATCCTATTTGCATCCCTGGTGCTTGTATGTCACTGTGTTCGTGACATCTCCCCCACAGGACTGGGAGCTCCTTGAGAGCAGGGGCCATGCTCTGCCTCTTTATATGCCCAGCACTCGGCACAGAACCTGGCAACAGCAGGCACTTAAGAAATGTTTACTCACTGCCTGACTCGACTTGCCTCCTCCCGCCCTAGGAAGGGAAGGCAGACTTGGGCACTGAAGCCATTGCTGAGGAAACGCTCCAGAATCACAGAACTGGAGAAGGGGAAGGGACCTGAGAGGTCCCTGGTCCAACCCACACACGAAAGGAATCCCTACAATAAGAGACAGGACAGCCAACGTGCAATGCTCCATGACGGCAGCCAGGGGGGTTAGTGGAACAGATCCCCAAGCCTGAATTCAAAGGCAGTGTCTCCAGCCCGTGCTCTGTTAAATGGGAGGAGGTGGGGAAGGAGGAGCACAGCATGACCCCTCAGATCTCTCCCAGCAGAAAACCATGAGATCTAGGAGTCCCGTCTTCCTGTCAAAGAAAGGCCTCTCAATCCATCCTTCCTCCCTGCCACCCCCAACTGTTTTTGAAAACAGCCTTTTCTTGAGGGACCCATGTCTCCAGTAGTCAGTCAGTCAATAAGCCTTTATTAAGCACCTACTATGTGTCAGGTACTGAGCTAAGTGCTAGAGATGTAAAGAAAACCAAAGGACAGTCCCCGCCCCTCCAGGAGTTCACAGTCTGATGGGGGAGACAGCATGCAAACAACGATGTGCAAAAAAGCTCAAGATGGGCCAGACAGGAAATAACCACGGGAAGGAAGGCACCAGAGGGGTAAGAAAGGTGGGATTTTAGCTGGGATGCCAAGAGGTGAAGGTGAGGAGGGAAAGCATTCCAGGCATGGGGGACAGCCAGAGGAAAGGTCTGGAGCCCCGAGGTGGAGTGTCGAGAAGAGGGCAATCCACAGTGTCAGTGTGGAAAGGTCAAGGACGAGGACTCAGAGAAGGTTATCGGATCTGACAGTTAAGAGATCACTGCTAACTTTGGAGAGAGCAGCGCTGGCTGAATGATGAGGCTGGAAGCCAGATTTTAAGTGGTTAGGAAGGCAGTGAGAGGAGAGAGAGCAAAGGCAGCGTCTTCTTAAGGTCAGTACAAAGGACAGAAGAGCTACAGGGAGATAGGGGATGGAATCGTCAAGGGGGGGGCGGTTCGAGGATGGGGGACATGTCAATATTTGTAGAAGGGAAGTAGTCAGCTGACAGGATGAGATCCAAGACAAGGGAGAGATTAGATTGTAAATTCCTTGAAGGCAAGGGCTGTCTTTCTTTTTATTAATTGTATCCCCAGCACTTAGCACAGTGCCTAGCACACAGTAGGTGCTTAATACATGTTTACTGGATTGGGATGATAGCAGAGGTAATCTTCTTGGGGGCAAGGGAAGGGATGCAATCACTTGTGCTGGAAGAGGGTTTTGCCTTGGAAAGGAGAAGGGCTACCTCTTCATGTGAGCCAGGGATAAGGGAGCAATTCGTGGTATAAGGCTGTGATATGAGATAAAGAGGAGAGAAAGAGTGGTCTCCTATGTGCTAAGTGCTGAGGATACAAAGAAAGGCAAAAAACAGTCCCTGTCCTCAAGGAGCTCCCGGTCTAATGGAAGAGACAACATCTAAACAACTATGTACAAATAAGAGGTACAGGATAAATTAGAGATTAACAGAGAGCATGAAGGGGGAGGAGGAAAGGCTTCTTGCAGAAGGAAGCCAGGCAAACCAGCAAACACTAGAAGTGAACCTTTAAATTAAATTTAAAATCCTGCCTAGAAGATGGGAAACCTTCCTTCATTGCAGCTGGAGACCAGGACCCAGAGGGCTGTAAGATGAAGGACTGGCAGGGGTGGCAGCAGCGGCTCAGGAGCCAAGGGTACGCTGGGGACCAATGAGAGAGAAGCTGAGTCTTTAGCAAAAGCCCCCGTGGGACAGCAACACAGCACCTGCCCTGACTGGGCAGAGCAGCCAGAAGATGCCAGTGACATGACTAGTGACCAGCACATTCACGTATCACTTTGCGGGAGACATCTCTTATCTTGGCATCATCATCAACATGACAGAAGCGTGTACAGGGTGGCTTCAGGTGAGGCTGATGCAGGCTGACATGACCCAGGAATTACCCTCCAGACTGCAGGGAGGGGGCGTCCTCACCGCAGACCAGGCCCTGGACCAGGGAAGTCCAGGGCCATCGGCTTCCTCCTTCGCAGGCATCCTCACCATGACAACAATCATGAAGATGATTGATTAACCAGCACACGCCTCTTTCCTGTGAAGTCCCACCCCCATCTCTTCAGGTGTGTAAAGTGCCTTCCTTCAATGACCTCATGGGAATAATATGATGATGAAACCAGCAATAAAAAGGCATGTTATCAGTGAGGTCTTTCCGTACAGGGAAAGGTACTGGCCTAGACCAGACCCAGGCTTAATAATAATAATATTAATAAGTGATGCGGATGAGGATCCCGGGAGATCTGGCTCCTGGCCACCCCC